TTATATTTTATATTAAATTATTTATATATTAACTATAAGTATTACATATATAATATTATTATATTAAAACAAAATTATATATATATATTCAACAATTTAATTAAAAATTGTCTTTAAAAATTAATTTTTAATTTCATTAAAAATTGTCTTTACAGAAATATCATTGAAAATAAATCTTACCTGTAACAAACCATATTTAATTTCAATCTCCAATAAATCATAATCTTTCACATAACACGGACGATTGCTTTGTGACAAATTTTGTCTGTTAAGTTCTTGTTGATCTTGTGATGCTAAAACGTTAGCAAGACTAGCTAAAACTGGTTCTGAGGCAAAAGCTAATGTTTCAGGACATTCTTCAACTTTATATACCTAGAATCAAATTGCAAAGTATTTTATACATTTTTATAAGAAAAAAAAAAGAAAAAAAAAAGTACAAAAAATAGATTTGCTAAAATATTGTATTTTATCTCGAATAAGAGAAAAACTGTGCAAATGGTCATAAAAAGGTTCGATTATTCTAAAATGGCTGACTTGGCAGAGGAACGTATTCGAATTTGCCTGTAAATCGATATATATATATATATATATATAGTATATGTGTATAAAATATGAAGGTGTTGGATGATATATGAGAATATTTAGCACAATATGAAAAGGGATGGGTCCCCTCTTATTTCTAACGGATAAACATTTGACTCTCCTCCCATGGGATTTAGGAACATACGTAATTAAGGGCGGGCTCAATATTTTATGGAGATATTAAATTTTCCAAGAGAAAAATCGTAAATCTTACAAAAGTAAAAAAAAAAATCTTTAAAAGTAAAACGAGGGAGAGTTGAATTATATTTATTATTTGTCAAAAAAAAAAAAAAAAAGGAGAGAGTATGAGAGGGAGAGTGAAGAAAGAAAATATAAATTCACGTTTAAATTATTCAATCTCTGTTACAAATGTCATAATCAAAAATGTATTTATGTTAAGCACATTATTATAAGTCTTCTTAAATTGATCGAACTTACGACTTGAAGCTTTTTGATTGATTTCATTCAACGTTCTATGGAATTTTTATTGCCCTTTTTTTTAAAAAGTTACCCACTCCCCCCTCACCCCTCACCCCTCACCCCTCACCCCCGCCTAAACGCGACAAATAAATT